TAGGACAATGTTGTTCACTTTTTGCTTATTTTTGTTTAAGAGGGCAACATCACTTTCATGACCAAGAAGCTAGGCTGCAAGGTGACCATAACCCACCAGCTGTCCCCCCCCCACATTATTTAACCATGTTTGTTTTTTGTTGTTGCTTTAGTTTAACCAAAGCTCAGAAAAAGTTACTTTTTGGGCTGCAGTGGGCATGCTGGTTGATGGAGGCAGCCGCCATTGGAACTTGCTATCCCATGCACCTTCAAGAGGGGCAGGGAATCATCACAGCTCTCACCATGTAGTGGGTGCATTTCTAATGTTTTGAAGAAATGGTGCAGGAACAACATGGAGGTGAGGGGGCTCCCATTCCTCCTTCTGGTTGGGGGCTCCAAATCCTGTAATTCCATGAGGGGTTCCCACCAAATTACAGGGCTGAATGGTCTTTAACCTCCAAAATTGAGGTTGAATGTTCTCCAACCTCCAAAATCCCCTCGCTAGCATTAACCCTTGGGATTGGGATTTTGGAGGTGAGCCTATTCAGCCCTTTCCAAGAACAAATACTAAATTTCAGCACTCTGGGTCCAAACCCTGGTTTCTCTTCCTTAGTTATGGCTCCGGTGCTGCAAATTTTGGGTCCATCATGTCCTCCAATGTGTGACAAAGTGAACTAAGTACAGTCAAGTGATCAAAGAGCTTACAATTGGACAACAAACAAAACTCAGGTTTTGGGAAAATATAGGGAAAACCGCCTAGAGTGGTCCTGAGTTGGCTAGATAGGCGGGATATAAATAAAATAAATAATAATAAATAATAATCTGGAACCACTTTCAATAAGAATGTTATTAGAAGACCTTGAGAATTTTATATAATATGAGAGTAATATTATGATAGTAGTCATATTATATACTAAAATTTGTATAGGAATGGTTTGAATGTTTGAAAGATGTTTGGAATTTGGGGGGATAACCGGGAGGACACAGATGTAAAAAACAAATAATTGTAAGCAAAACATGTAACACGATGTTTGACAAGCACAAAACAATGTAGATAGATTGAAAAACCAGTAAAATGTTTATTTAAAAAAAAAAGAACTGTTGGAGAGAGGAACAACCTACCCAAATGATGTAGTTTGGTGGGTTTGTGCAACTGGAGATGATAAATAAGTGCTGGCACACAAATCTTTCAGTCTACTCCTGTGGGGGGTCCCATTCCCAAGGTTGCTAAGCCACATGGGTGTTCTAGTGAGGGAAAACTCTCCTAGCATCCTGTGGCTACTTCTGAGGGGAGGGGCTGCCACTATTCCTCCTCTTTCTCATTATCATAGAGAGCTTGCTATAGAGGCCTTGCCTTAGGCCAATCAGAGGGCTTGATTAATTGCCTTTCTCCAGACCATCCCTATTAACATGATGTAACCATTGTCCTATCTGAACTCTATTTACTATCTGTAATGCTGTCACTACCTGTGACCTTGTAATGTTAATAAAAGAGCAGTCTCCTGGGGGCAGGGCAGAAGAGACGGACAGGAGAGACCAAGGGCAGAACGTCACAGACGGAGAAGACTTCTCATTCTGCTTCCTTGCTGAGTCGCCCACCAGGAGTACTGCTGGCAGACATCCATCTGTGTGTGTGTGTGGCTGACTTCTTTAATCTATTGCTAAGAGACTCTTTGCTATCCTATTATCCACTATCTGGTGATCACCACAAAGCCCATCACCTGAACCCAACACCCCAGCACCCCTCGTGTCCCCCTCACCCAGGTAAGCCTTCAGCACTTACCCGGAGCCAACGGAGAAACCGCCCCATTGTTGGGGAAGCCCAAAAGCAACGCCAAAAGCACCAACAAGCAAAACCAACCACCGTTCGCGTAGGCGATTGAGGGAAATGGATGAGTGGGGACCAGCTCGGAACCTGGTTGCTATGGCGGCCACGTCCACACCCAGGGCTCCGGAATCCAGAGCAGCCATCGCTCGGGTTTGCATCTCTGCAGGGGCCAAAGCCCTTGAGGGGGCCAGGCCTGGTCAGGCTGGTTGCCAACTGCCTCTCCGGCCTGGCTCCTATGCTTTGTAGCAGCAAGCTTCGGGCAGCTAGAAAGTGTGCACTTGGTTGCAGAGGCAAAGTTGCCAGTGAATGATCATCATCCCTCCTACACGTGACACACATGCACTGCTCCTCTTTCTGGGCTTTCCCCCTTCCGCCTTTGAAAGTGGACCTCCAGCATCCCCAGGGTGGGGGGTTGGGGGGTCCGGAGGCTTTTGGACACGTCCGAAGGGCGCTTCCCTTCCCTCCCCGGTCATGGATGAGGGAAGCTTGGAACTGGCCAGGACGATTTGGGGGAGGCAGGGGCGCTGGAAACATCCACTCTGCCAGTTCCCCACCTCTTGGGGGCCTGGAGACCTTTGGGCCCCCTTTTTGTGAGAGCGACATTTCCAATAACTTGATCTCGCACATTTCTGGACCTCCACTTCATGGAGGAAGTGTCCTGTTTTTGAAAATATGCCCTTTGGTTTCTTAGAGTTAAGACAGCGCACAACTGTCTCCTTGGCACAGACGCCTTCCTCCGGCTGTGGGGAGGGGAAGCCCACCTGGTCAGCAGAGAGATTCCGGTCCAAAGGGGGGGCACTGATCGGTTTTCCTTTTCTTTCTCCCCTCTTTGGGGGTCTTAGAGCTCTGGGGCCAATCTCCTGGTTCAAGGACTGGGGCACCAATAGGGCAGGGGGGCTAGAAAGGGTGAGGGGGGCACCTCTCCTTCCTGCCATCAGAAGCCGAGGGTGAGGCTCCAACCCCCACCGCCCTTTTCTCCTTCTGCTGGGGGGGGGGCTGTTTCTCTTCGGGTTCCAAACGGTTTCCTCAGAGCTGGATCTTGTTCAAGTCGAGTAAGAAGGCAACGCAGTAGGCCTCCAGGCCACCCCATGGGTGTCACCTCCTCCCTCTCTCTCCCCTCCATTCCGGCACTCCCGGCAACTCCCACCCCCTGTGTGAGTGTTCAGCACTCTGGACCCAACTGGACCCATCTCCAGCTTTGTTTGGATGATGATGAGGCCGACACACATCTTTGCTAAGCACCAAAAGCAGGCAGAGTGAGGCTTTGCCTAATGAGGCCACTGATGGGTTCAAAGAGCTTCCATGGGAGAGTCAGATCCTGATGCTCAAGAAGGTAGAGGCACTAAAGGCAGGAGTTACTGCCTCTCAGCCCAAGAGCACTATTGAAGGCCACTTACTCCCTCAGGGGGCAAGAATCCCTAAAAATCTCTGGGTGATTTCATCCCACAAATGATATCTAAAGACACATGCATTTTGCTCACTTGGAGAAGAGCCTAGTCTTAGCCTTGCTTCCTGTTATTCGTGTAAAAACTATGCCATAGTACTTCATGGGAATTGTAGTTCTTCAGGAGTTGCCGTGTACAGAGCTTACAGGGCAGCGAGACTCTGGTTCCCAGGGAGCACCATGGCGCCTCCCCGCTTTCGCATCGAGAACAGGAAACAAGGCCAGAGAAGATCATGACGCTTTGGAGGTAGGTCCCTCTCCAGTGAGCAAAACGTATGTGTATTTAGGTATATAGTTGTGGGGTGAAACTCCCAGAATTCTGCCTGGGGAAACCTTGGAGAATTCCGGGGAGCCGATGCCCAAAAAAGGCAAAAGAGCACAACCCTAACAGTCCATCTCATTAGATACAAGAAGGGTCATTTCCACAAGGCAGATATCTACAGGTGTAGGGGGGGTAGCCACACTACACAATCGTAGCAGTTTGACGCCACTTTCGGCCACCATGACTCCACTCTATGGCCCTTCTTCTTGTTGTTGTTAAGTCGTGTCTTACTCTTCGTGACCTCATGGACCAGAGCATGCCAGGCCCTCCTGACTTCCACTGCCTCCCGGAGTTGGGTCAAATTCATGTTGGTCGCTTCGGTGACCCTGTCCGTCCATCTCGTCCCGTCGTCCCCTTCTCCTCTTGCCTTCACACTTTCCCAACATCATGATCTTTTCCAGGGAGTCTTCTCTTCTCATGAGATGGCCAAAGGATTGGAGCCTCAGCTTCAGGATCTGGCGTGCTCTGGTCCATGGGGTCATGAAGAGTCGGACACAACTTACGGACTAAACAACAACAACAAGGGCTGTTTTTCTTTTCTAAGAGGACTACAAATTTCACCTTAAGGCAACAGACCAAATTACAAGGGACCAAGGACAGACACTATAAATTGATATGTCTGGTACAGAATATGCGACGTTCCACCTGATCTTGCTTCCAGGCTTGTTTCAAGTCTCCAGTTTTCCACGTTACATCTTTAAGTTTATACCTAAAAGCTCACCAAACAAACATTATTACCCAAAACAGAATTCTGGCTCCGTTTTCTAGAGTGGGAGCTTTCAGAGACAAAAACCTCCGAGGAATGAAGTGGACCATCCACCCAGCCTCTCAGCTTGGACTGCACATTGTGGCAGCAAAGACACAACGGTCACGAAGATCATTGCTGTGACACTTTGAAGACTACATAGTAAAGGTTGACACCAACTTTTGTGGAGACGCTAATTAGAAACTGGAAGTCAACACCCCACTAATTTCACCAGTTTTTTTAAAATAATGAGGAGTGGCTTTCGACAAGTTTTCCAAAAAGCCTCTTGTTTGTTTTAATGATTTCAAAATGATTTTATTTCATTTGAGGGGGGAAACAACCAATAATCTGAAGCAGCTTAGGCTGTGGGACTAAAGAGCACATTTTCTTGTTTCCAAAGCCCGTCTTGGACTGCCCAACACACACACACACACACACACACACA